TATTGAATATACCGTAGACTGTCAAGAGTACAAGCAAGTTTACCCTAGAGAGGAAGAAACCAGGCTGCTCCTTAGAGGCAAAGATTTTTAAGCTTTATCTCACATACTTTGTTGCCAGAGGGGACCAGTCCTTAGAGAGGAACATCATGCTTGGAGGGTGGAGAAAGAGCATAAGAGAAGAAGACCTTGGATGAAATAGATTGACTCAGTTACTGGGAAAATGGGAATAGGGGTATCAGAGACATGAAATTGTCTCCATATAGAGCAGAGTTCAGAGTTGTTGTACATAGGGTTTTTGTGAGTAGCAGACAACTCAGCTGCACATAACAATAACTTGACTTTTGCTTGTTCACTCCTGCAATTCATGTTTGTTTTCATTCATTGAAAATATTCAATCTTAGTTCCTGGAGTTTTTTTTCTTTTCCACTTTCCCCAAGACAAACATATGTTTATTCTTTTCTTTTTCCCTTTTTAAAATTATACTAGTTTATTTACAGAATTCGCCTACATTGTTTTCCAGACCAGATTCTTGCAATTTCTCTCAAATCCCACCCACCAATCAAACTGTACAACTCCATTATTCATCCCCCCCTAAACATCCTCATCCCTTTGCTTCCATCCCTCCCCCCTTGGATCCTCATACTTTTTCTTCAGTAATATTTTTATACAATATTTGTCCTTGTGGGACTGAGGTAACTCAGTATAATGCTCTCTGGTCCCTCCTAAGTTAGGTTATAATTTACAAATTATTGTTCCTATGTGCTGTATAGTATTCCATTGTGTGAATGTACATAATTTCTCAATTCATTTGATTGTGGTTGACATGCGGGCTATTTCCATATTTCCATTGTGATGGTGAGTAACGCTGCTATGAACATTGGTGTAAAGTCTGTTTGTGTCTCATTTCTCATTTTCTCAGGGTATATTCCAAGCATTGGAATAGTTGGGTCATATGTAATTCCAGTGTTCCGTTTTTCGAGGAAGTGTCAAACTGCCTTCCAGAATGGTTGTACTATTTTATAATCTCATCAATCAGATCATTGTTCTTTTGAATTCTGCATCAGAAAGTTCTATCAGACTTTCTGATCAAGAAATCCATTGAATTTTTTTTTATTGCTTTTTTGGGGTGAAATTTTGTTTCTGTGTTTGTGTAGACTATGAGGTAATCTACTTCTTCCTGTCAATACTGTAATAGGATTTTTTTTCTTGCCTGGGGCACCAACAGGTCTTTGGTCGACTAGCTTGGCTAGGGAACTCACAGCTCTGGAAGATGGTGGGGCAGCTTATTCTGCTCTTATGTTTCTCAGGTCCCTGGGCTCATGGAGTACTTAACTTCGTTTAGGGAGTTCAGCACTCCATTCAGGAGCAGGAGGGCAACTGACTCTGTAATCCTTCCTCTCTGGTCCCGTTTGCTGGATTTGGGGGCTTGGGGGTCGTGGTCAGCTGCTTCCTTCCTCTCTGGCCTAGTAGTTAAGTTCTCTGGGCTGGAAGCCTTGTTTTTTCAGATTGTAGCCCTCTCTCATGAAGTCTTTCGTCCTCCTTTGTCTGCAAGGTGGTGTTCCCTAACTCTATACCACTCTGTCTGTGACAGTTTGCCAGAAGCACTTGGTCTCTGTCTTTCTACTCCTGGCCTGTATTCCAGTGGATGCTGATTGCTGGGACCTTCCAGTTAGGGCACATAGCTGGCAACATAGGATGATTTCCCTTGAGAGGGCAACGTCTTAGATCCTGATCCTTGGTGTATTGTCCCAGAGTTGCCCAGTGCTCTCAGAACATGGGGCTTCAGCAGGCAAGCCTGGGCTAGGGCGGGACTCGAGTGAAGTTACTTGATCATGGTGCCACCAGTGAGTATGGTGGGTGGTCAAGGGTGTCGGCTCTCAGTGGGGGCTGAGTGTGTTTAATAGTCATTTACTTGTTTTCTTTGTATACTCAATTGACTATAAATGTTAGTGTTAGGAAACACTGCAATAAACAAATGTATGTGATCCTGCAAGTTTCTAATCCAAAGGACAATGTTAATTTCATATTGGAAGAAGCCTTGGAAATCTTTGGATATAACTGTTCTCGTTTCATTAATTTGCTGTAACTATGTCTGGTATATAATGAACTATATTCTAGTTGATAATCACTACAAGGAATCTATATATCTTAATTTTCAAACAGTTCTAATTGTTGGAAAGTTTTCCATTTGAACTGAAATTTGCATGCGTCATAACTTTCTGTTGACAAAAGTATCCCAAGTAAGTAAGAGAGGTATTTCAGGCTGTTGGACATGAATATGTTTTCTCCATTATTTGCAAACATATTTTTTATGTGAAAATTCTGGATCTTACTCCACATTGTCAGAATCTTTGTGCTGTCTAACATTTTCTGTGTTCCCAGAGTTAGTTAGGATCCACTTCTGTCCTGATATTTGTTATTGCTGTATCTGTTTGATTGTTGTTATGTACCGTCAAGTCAAAACCAACCCATAGCTGACCATCCAACAGGTTTTCAGAGGCAGTAAATTGCTCAGGAGATTTCCCATCTTTCTCCCACAGAGCAGCTGATAGATTAAATCTGTGTAACTTCAGGTTGATAGTGTTGCTCTTTACCACTAGAGGTACCATTTGTTTTGATTAGCATTGAATTAATTTATTTAACATGGACCTGAGAGGTCCTTTGTGAACAGTGGATTGGCATGTCTTTACGGCATGTCTTGGAAAGCTTTTTGTTTGTCCTAATTTATGTCTAAGGATGAAAAAAGAAGAAATCGGTGCCTTTGAGTGGTGGTGCTGGAGATGAGTGTTGGACTTAAAAGAGAACAAACAGGTCTGTCCTAGAGAGGGTCAAACCAGGTTACTCCTTGGAGGCAAGAACTTTGAAACTTCATCTTACATCCTGTGGCTGGACATATTGCCAGGAGGAACTAGTTCTTGGAGTAATACAGAAGGGTGAAGGGTCAGTACAGGATAGTGAGAGCCTGGATGAGATAGAGTGAAACATTGATTGTGGCAATGAGGTCAGGCGTGTCAGATGGTGAGGCTGTTTTCAGGATAGAACAAGGTTCAGAGCTACTGTTTATATGGCCAGTATGAGTCAGAGTTGACTTGACAGCATCTAACAACAACAATATCAGTGGTAGCATACAAACTCTTGATCACCTGTTGTATTTTCATTTATCTCCTTTGCCTTCATCTTTCAAAGAAAAAGATACTATAAAATACTAACATAACTTATGTTTGAGAAATCTCTATCTGCAATTATGAACCCTAATATCAGAAAAGTGAATACTGCTGCTGCTTTTCCACCTATCCTTTTATTTTTAACTGTTCTTTATCTTCACTGTTGAGGTGTATCTCTTGCAGGCAGCAAATTGATGAGTTTTGGGTTTTTAGCCATTCTGCTACTCTTGTCTTCATTTAAACCCTTTACATTTGTGTAATTATTGAGAGGCAAGGGTTTTTTTTGCTGTCATTTTGTTGAATTCTTTTTGGTGGTGTTGCTGGATGCTTTGATACATCCTGCTTTCTGTGGCATATTTCTAAGAAGACTTCCTCAGTATTTCCTGCAGCAATGGTCTTTCACAAACTCCTTCAATTTCTGATTTCTGATAATATCTTGATCTCTCTGTCATATTTGATGGACAGTTTTCCTGGGTACAATGTTCATGGTTGACAGTGGTGTTTTTTGAGTGTTCATATATATCATAGGGTGCAAGCTTCTTTGGAAGTGGATGTCACTCCTCCTTCCAAAAAACCCTATGAACCTGGAGAAAGGACAAAAGTTAGACAGTTGTCCAGGTCTTTCATTCATAGGGTTGCTGTGAGTCAACTATATATATATATATATATATACATACATACATACATACATACATACATACATACATACATACATACACACTCACACTCTCTTAGATGCTCTCCCTTATATGTTACTCTTTATTTTTCTTTGGCTGCTATCAGAATTCTGTTCTGGCAAATTTGACTCTGATGTGCCTTGATGTTTTTCTTTTGGGATCTATTCTGTATGGGGTTCCTTTAGCTTCTTGTGTATGCATTCTCTCATTTTTCATTATACCTGAAAAGTTTTCTTTTAGTAAGTGTTCCACAACTCTGCTGGTGCCATTTTTCCCTTCTTCCTCTTCTGAGATTTCAATTATGTGCATGCTGTTCCTCTTGAAGATGTCCCACATTATTCTTAGGTTTTCTTCTTTTTCCTTCCTTTTTGATTCTGCTTTTTGTTCTAGCAGATCAGTGCTGAGAACTCTTACCTTCTATTTTGCTGGTTCTGTGTTCCATCTCTTCAGTTTGTTCATATGTCCCTTCAACATATTGATAGCATAAATTCTTGGCTTTTGCTTGTAGAATCTTGTAATTCTTCAAATATGTCTTTTCCCCCATTGAAAATATTCAAACATTGTTCTTTAGAATTCTGTGTCAGAAAGTTCCATCAAACTTTCTGCCTTCAGGAAACCCCTGATTCTGTATTTTGATCACTTTTTTGGGTGGCCTCTTGCCTTTCTGTTGTTTAGGATGTGAGAGAGCCTACGTATTCTGTGTCATTGCTGTGGTAGAGTTTTTCATGCTTGTGGCCCAAGCAGGACCTTGGTCTGATGGCCCTGGTTTGGGAGCTCACTGCTCCAGAGGAGGGATGTACAGCTCACCCTGCCTGAATTTCTTTCTGATCTCTGGACTCAAGGGGAGACTTGCTTCAGTTGGGGAGCTCAGTATGCTAGTAGGAAAAGATAGGGCAATTTACCTTACCTGTAGTTCTAACTCTTGGGTCCTGTGGCAAAATTATTTGGTACTGGGGAGGCAATTGCTTCTGTTCCTTTTTCTCTGGTCCATTGTTGGACTAAGGAATAAAAAATATTTGCTATCTTAATTCATTTTTATATTAATAAAAAGAATTAATTACATGTTAACTAGGTTTAATTATTTTATCCACATATATTTGAAGTTTGGTTTATAATTAAAGATAGCCTTCATTCTAATGAATTATGTACTATTTTCTAGGAATCAGGTGAAGGCAAAAACTCATCAGAATGTAGAGATAGTGAAATTAAAAAGTGGCAGCTAGCTCCTGTTCGAAAGATGGGACAACAAGTTTTACCTCGGAGATCTTCAGAAGAAAGAAGTGAGAAAATAACAAAAGAGTCTACAACTGCTATTTGTACAGGAGAAAAAGCTTCAAAACCAGGTAATAAAATTAAATTTCTGTATAAGCTAATGTATTTCTATCAAAGAACTCCCCAGGGTGCTGACAAGCAAAAATGTCAGTTTAAAGATTAAGGTGTATCTGATTCAAGCCATTATCTTTTCAGTTGCTTGCTGTCCATCTGAAAGTTGGACGGTGACTAAAGATGACAGAGAAGAATAAGGATAGATGCCTTAGAGTTGTGGTGTTGGAGAAGAGTATTGAATATCCCTTGAATTGTCAAGAAAACAAATAGGTGTTGGAGAAAGTCAAACCAGGGTGCTCTTTAGAAGCAAAGATGATGAAACCTGTCTCACAAACTTTGGGCATGTTGCCAGGAGAGACCAGTCCTTGGAAATAGATACCATTTTGGCAAAGTTAGAGGGCCATCAAAAGAGAGCAAAACCCTTGACAAGATAGATTGACTCAGTGTGTGTAACTGTGGGCTCAGGTATGTCAGAGATGATGAGGATGGCACAGAAATAGAGCAAGATTAGCATCCATTGTCCATAGGGTCACCATGAGTTGTAGTCCACTTGATGACACTTGCTACTCGCGCAGTAAATTTCTGGTTTATGCCATATACAGTCCACACTGACATATTCGGTAATTTTTTTAAAAAAAATGACAATTTCTCTTTTAAATAGTCTAGTAAGCTCCAATGGTTCTGTGCCAAAAGCACAAATTCAGAAAATAAATAAGAAAAGGAAATTATAAAAGGGAAAGATAACCTGTATGCAAGGGCACTCACTACTTGCTCTAGACTTACTGGTATCAATGAATAATCTTTTCTCCTTTGCCCCCATGAAGACAGATATTAAGTGTTTTGAGTGTCTTAGAGAAGGAAATCATGCATCTTCACCTAATGTGCATGCTTTGTTTCTCTTAGTAGATATTAATGTCGTAGCTATGTCCACTATCATAGCTAGATAGTGGAGACAATTGTAATATCGCATACATCTATACATAAGGGCACAATTTATGAGATGGAATTTGAAGAGCAAGGAAGTCTTTGAAAAGAAGAAGTGGGGAGGAAGGGTAAGTTTGTAGCTCTTGCAGTAGAAATGATAGCATTTGAGGACTACAGAGATCGGTTTGGAGGATGTGTAAAGTAACAGTATGTGAAGGCTAGAGTGGTAGTAGATGAATGAAGAGAAAATTAACTAGGAAGTTTTGGGCCATATAAAAGATTTGCATTTTATTGTGTAGGACTTTCTGGGTCTTAAGAAGAATTTATATTTTATTTTAAATGGAATAGGAAGCCACAAGAGGATTTTTATTCTTGCTTTGGAAGCTTAGTTGGTAGTCAGTTGAGCTGCTAACCTTCTCTGGTGGTTTTAATTCACCAATGGCTCTGGAGAGAACGATGGGCAGTTCTGTGCGACTTACAGCTTCAGAAACCCAGTGGAGGATAAGCAATGAGTCAGTTCTAATTTGACAGTAAACAGGAACACTTTGGAGAGAACAGTGTAGAGGTTTAATAGTCTTTATAAGTGAAGTGGATATGACTTGCTAATGGATTACATATAGAGAGATCTTGGGTGCCATTTAAAAGATGTGGACAGAGAAAATTTTGGGAGTAAAATTTTAAAGCTGGTTAAGGAGTTAGTTGTGCTGCCAGCCTACTCCTTTTGAATCCCCCGGCTGTTCTGTGGGAGAAAGATGGGCAGTCTCTTCCTGTGCAATTAACTGCCTCTAAAAAACCACTAGCGAGTCTTTATGAGTGGATTCTGACTTGGTGGTACACAACAACAATTAGAAGATTGAAATTGTCAATGACTTCATCTTGTTTGGGTTTACAGTCAACATTGTTGGTGCCAGCAGTAAGAAATCCAAAGACTATTGAAATAAACAATAAATTGAAAAGGAAACTAAAAGTACTTAGAAATGAACAACAGCATACATGGACTGTGGGCAAAGTATTTGCTGATGTCCCCATTAGCAAAAATTGTGTAACTCAAAATTGAAAAAAAAAAGGAATTAAAAGACATATTGCATTGAGAAAATAGGTTGTCAAGGACCTCTCAAAGGTACTAAAGAGCAGTAAAGTCAGTTTAAAGACTAAGCTGTGTGTGATCCAAGACATGGTCTTTTTAGTTACTTGCTGTGCATCTGAAAGTTGTACAGTGACCAAGGATGGCAGAAGAAGAATTGATACCTGTGTGAGTTCTTTTGGACAAGAGTAATCAATAAACCATGAGCTTCCAAAAGAATAAGTAAGTCTGCTTTGCAGTAAGTGGAACCAAGGTGTTCCGTAGAGGCAAGGATGGTGAAGCTTCTTTATCTCAGATAACTTTTTGGGTGTGTTGTTAGAAGGAGGCAGTCCTTGGGCTAGGACATCATGCTTGGACAGATGGAGGGTCAGTGTAACAGAGGAAGACCCTCAACAAGATGAATACAGTGACTGTAATAATGAGCTCAAGTATTTCAGAGATGATGAGGCTAGCACAGCTTGGGATAGGGTTCAGATCTGTCCATTAGCATCACTGTGAGTTGTAGTGGACTCAGCGTCACTTACCAACAACATTAGAAATACAAGTTGAAACTGTTGAGCAAATGTTGTTTTCAAAAATTTTCATCTTCGTGAAAATTTACAGAAAGGATGCGTTTTCATTCATTCATTGGTAGACATTTTCCTTCCTCCCCCTTCCTCAATTCACTTTGTAATGCATGTCTTGTTTCAGATTGTTAATTGTCATAAATATTATCATCCATTCCTTTCCTGTAGTCCTTCCCTTTACTGATTGCAGTGCAGTGTTCATTATCTATCCAGTCTTCCTGCTTTCTCCTACTTCTCTGCCCCATGTCCGTCCTGTTTTTGTAACTTGCTCTTATAAGTAAACTCTTAGCTGGTATGTCTGGTATTTAGTGATGACTTCTGTTGCTGGTATAAAAATAAGAGATTCATTAGAGTATAGTTGTTACGTAAAATCATCAATTTAGATGTAAACACCTTTAAAGGGAGTTCTGTAGTGGACAGAAACAGACCCCTTGGGGAACACCAACTTAAAATTTGGTAATAGAAGAACATCTAGCAAAGGAGACTGTGAGAATCTATGATGCAAGAAAGAGGTTATTGTTGTTACTGTTAAGTACCATTGAGTCATAACTGACCCATAGCTGACCCTCCAGTGGGTTTTCAGAGGCAGTTAATTGCACAAGAGGAGATTGCCGACCTTCTCAGAGCCTACTGGTAGATTTGAACGGCCTTCGGAATTGCAGCACTGCTTCTTGCCCCTAGGCTACCAGCGAGCCTCTTACTCTCTAAGAAAGAGATTACATGGTCTAAAGTCTGATTGAAATTTAAGAAAGAAAGAGGGAATAATCAACTGAATTAGCTGGTGAAGGGATTTTTTTTAAGAAATATTTTTAGCACATTTTTTAAGACTAATGAGTCAAGTGAGAAAAATTGATAATGCAGGGAAGAGAAGTGATAGTTGAAGAGCAAAGTTAAAAACACATGAGAAAAGCTTTCCTTCCACATGGAGAATTTGATTATAGAATAGGGAGCTATGTTGGTGGAAGTGTAAAATGGTACAACCACTGTGGAAAGTTGTGTGGCGCTTTCTCAAAAAGTTGCAAATAGAGATACCTTTTGACCCAGCATTTCCAATACTGGGAATATACCCTAAAGAAACCATAACCGCCATCCAAGCAGATATATGCACACCCATGTTTATTATGGCTTTGTTCACAATAGCAAAGAGTTGGAAACAACCTAAGTGCCCATCAACAAACAAATGGATAGAGAAGCTGTGGTGTATTCACACAATGAAATACTACGCTGCATTGACAAACAAGGAATTCATGCAATATTATGCAAAATTGGTGACCCTGGAGGACATTATGCTGAGTAAAATGTCTGTCACAAAAAGACAAATACTGTATTGTACCACTGTTGTAGAATGGGACTGACATCGGGTTGGGGTAAGACTGAGAAAAACTGGATAAATTATGTATACTGCATTGAAACAGATGAGAGAACAGTTTAAAAGCGACATATGATAGAGTATTATGGTTATCATGAGTCTAGAATTAAGGTTGCATAGTGGAGTGAACTTGGGGTGTGGAGGGATGAGGGGATTGTATACCAATGAAAGAATTTTACTTTTAAAAGAGAGGAGTGAACTGCGGGGGAGGGGTGGGCTGGGAGAAAAGTGCAGCAATGAATGAATAGAAATCCAAAATCTCTGTAAATGTTCATTAAAATTAATAAAATAAAATTTAATTAGAAAAAAAGAATAGGGAGCTATATGTGTATGATTGTAGCTGGAAGGAAGACTATGTAGTAGGAGGAAAGAAAATGCAGATAGCTTAGCAGATTTGGTAACAGACCTTATTTATGGGACATTTTAATTAAATTTATGCACAATGATACAGCTAATGATGGCCTGATTCAGAGGAGGATAACTCTTATCCCAAAGTCAATACATCAGTGGTTCATATCCAGCAGTGGCTCCTTGGTACAACAATAGGCCATCTCCTGTAGTGTAATTTATAACCTCAGAAATGCACAGAAGGGTGGACAGTGAATCAGTTTCAACTTGACAGCAATCAGTTTGAGTTTTGTGCAGTATATTGGAAAACAACTTTTTATAAACAGTTTTATGAATTTGCATTTATTTAAATAGGTACGCATGAGAAGCAGGAGATAAAAAAGAAGAAAGTTGAAAAAAGTAGTGTACCTAATGTGCATGCACCTGCTGCTTCTACTTCTAAACCTTCTGCAGATCAGATCAGACAGAGCGTTCGACATTCTCTAAAAGACATTCTTATGAAAAGGTAACATTATCATTGTTTATGATTAAATGGTACATTCTTCAGATTTTTAAAAAATAATTAAATTATTTTGGCTTTAAGACTTACAGACTCAAATTTGAAGGTTCCAGAGGAAAAGGCTGCAAAAGTTGCCACAAAAATTGAGAAAGAACTATTCTCTTTTTTTCGGGACACAGATGCTAAGTATAAGAACAAATATAGAAGTTTGATGTTTAATCTAAAAGACCCTAAAAACAATGTAAGTATATTTTTTTCTTATCTATAGATACAGAATTTCTTAAACATGAAGGAATATGCAGGTATAATTATAATAGGTCTTTTGTTTATCCCTTAGGGCAAGATTTAAAAATCTATAATTTGTCACCCTAGGGTGAGAAGACTTTTGTCTTAAAGCAGATAATTTTTAAAAAATCTTTGTGCTGTTAAATGTCACTTAATCTTGTGTATTTTTAAACAGTGAATCTAAGTAAAATATTAAGTTCACCTTTAACTGACTTATGTGAGTTCTGTACTGTCCTTTCCTATATGCCTACTCCTCGTTTACTAAGTATCTCGATACCTGATAATTTTCATTTATGCCATTACTGAAGAATAGTTTTATCTATGTTGCACATTAAAGGTTTATGTCTGGTATAAAGAACACCAGCCTATGAGATGAAATTAGTGCTATATGTAATGGTTAAAGCTTATATCAGCTTGGTTAGACCATGAGTTTCACTAGCAGTTAGGTAATAATCTAGTTGAACAATTATGTAATGATATGATCATTTTTGCATAGTGCATATTTTTCCATAATCTACTGGAGCCTTACATTCTTTGGAACCTAACTATGTTCATAAGTGAAAAGTATAAGTTTTAATCTATATTTTACTATAAAGTTCTATTAACAAAATTCATAACATAATGACTTTTATTTAAGTCTGAATACAAAGCAGAAAGAAAAATAGATTTATTTACAAAGCTACTTTAAAACATTTTATTAAATTGATTATAACTTTAGTTTCAAATGTCTTTGGAAATGATTCAAACATTATTTGAGCCCTAAATCTTTCCTGGAACTTCTTGTTTAAGGCATTGTTGTTATTAGGGGCTGTTGAGTGGACTCTGATTTAGAAACCTAACCAAGCAGTACACCACATACGGAAAGCTTACCCAGTAATGAGCCATTCTTGGTCTCCACTGTGTTGAAGTCCATTGTTATAGTCACTAAGTTTGAGACTTGTGGAATATACTAGACAGATGTGTGTACATACTTGCGAGCTCTCACTAAAAGTAGGCTTAAACTAATATGTTTAATCACATTAAAATTTCAACAAAACTTTTATCTTTGAACATATTAAAATTTCAGAGCATGATTGATTTCTTCATTATTTTCAAGTTTGATTCAGACTTGGTTGTGTTCAGCAGAAGTTTTTAATTTTAATAATAGCTACAGTAAAGTACACATCTTTGACATATTTAATTGTATGTTTTCATATAAGTAAAATACATTTGTAAAAATATAAAATATTTGCTGTCACGTGCAATGTAAGATCATTTTTTGGTAGTACGTCTCTTCACATAACAGCCCTCTGTACAACAGCTCTAAACCCTGCTCTATCCTGTGCCATTCTCACTGTCTCTGACACACCTCGCCTGATTACCTCAGTCACTGAATCAGTCCATTCCCTTGAAGGTATTCTTCTCCTGCACTGTCCCTCCACGCTTCCGAGCATGACGTCCCTCTACAAGCACTGATCCCTCCTTGCAACATGTCCAAAGTATGTCAAACTAAGCTTTATAGTCCTTGCCTCCAGGGAGCAGCCTGGTTTCAACTCTCTTCAGGGCGACCCTGTTCATTCTCTTCAGTACTCTACTCCAGTACCACAGCTCAAAGGCATCAATTCTTCTTCTGTCATCCCTAGTCATTGTCCAGCTCACTGATGCCTAGCAAGTGATTGCAGACTGTGGCCTGTGTTGTTGTTGTTGTTGTTGTTAAGTGCCGTTGAGTCGCAGGGGACTCATAGCGACCCTATGATGGAGAGTTCTCGACGCTTGGGTGCCTTTCATCCTCTCTCCGGGTTCATAGGGTTTCCGGAGGCAAGCTATTATGAAAGTGGATGCCACTCCTCCTTCCACGCCTGTTTTAATCGGGGAGCTCCACCCCACTCACTGTCCGCATTGGGTAGCCAACCATTAACACATTTGACACATCAGTGTCACAGTGTTGAGCCTCAGAGCAACCACAAGTGACCGCAGTATGGCAGCTTGTACACCAGGGCTATACCACCTAGAGGAATGTCTGAACAAAAACAATGAAAGACTGGCCTGAGATTGAGATTGTTAACAACTTTAGTTGTTAACAGCCAGGAAATTAAAAGATGTATTGCATTCACATGTAGCACAAATAAATATTGTGCAAATAAATCACACAGTGCATCTAGAATTCTGATGTACAAGGGTTTGAAAAACTATAATTTTAATTCTATAAACTAAAAATTTGTGCCTTATTTGCTTAAAATACAGTGAATAAACCAAAATCATTAGCAGGGGTCAGTACTTGGAGAATGCCATTGTGCTTGGTAGAGCAGAGGTCACTGAAAAAAAGACTTCCTGTGAGTGGAGGGATACAGTGGTTGTAACAGTAGCCTCAAAATATGGCAGTGATTGCGAGGATGGTGTTATACTGGACTTTTAAAAAAATTATATTGTACAAAAGCTGGTTTGAATTGAATGAATTAATAACACCTACCAACAACCACTTATGAGAAATTTCCATTGTAAAATATCCCTGTCATGGTCCAGAAAAATGAGGTAATTCTTGATAATATAACTTGGAAGATTTTTTAGTAAACAAATAAAATTTACTTCTTTAATTTTCTTGAAGTTGTTTTTTTGCTTTGGAATCTTCTTTCATACCTATCCAAATTTGAACATACACAGTCTTAAAAAAATATGTAAGTCATCCTGTTTTATGAAGTTATTTAATACCTTGCTATTGCCTTCAGTATGGACTGAGGCTCAGTGTCAAGAAGACAAAGATTCTCACCACTGAACCATTTGGTAGCATCAGGATGGATGGTGAAGAGATTGAGATTGTTCACAGCTTCAGTTTGCTCGGCTCCACACTCAACACTCTTGACACCAGCAGCCAGGAAATCAAAAAACGTATTGCGATGTTAGGAACCTCTCAGAAGTACTCAGGAGCAACAGTGTCTCTCTGGAGACTAAGGTGTGCCTGATACAGGCCATGGTCTTTGCAATCACTTGTTATGCATCAGAGAGTTGGACAATGATAGGGAGGATAGAAGGAGAATTGATGCCTTTGAGCTGTGGTGCTGTAGATGAGTATTGAATGTACCCTGGACTGCCAAGAAAACAAACAGATTCATCCTGGAGAGGGTTAAACCAGACTACTCCTTGGAGGCAAGGATTCTGGGGCTTCGTCTGACATACTTTGGACATGTTATAAGGAGAGACAGGTCCTTGGAGAGGGACATCATGCTTGGGGAGGGTGGAGGGACAGTGCAGGAGGGGAAGGACCTCTATGAGGTGAATTGATTCAGTGACTGGAGTAATCGGGATGGGTGTGTCAGAGGCAATGCAATTGGCACAGGATAGAGCAGGGTTTAGGACTGTTGTACATAGGGTCACCATGAGTCGCAAACGACTCGACGGCACATAACAACAACAACATATTCTATATAGTCTGTTGTGATAGCCAGAGTTTGTCGCAGACTCAGGAAAACTTTTGGATAAGTATTTTAATCCTTTCACTCTGTATTCTTTGGCCATATATGTTAATTTTTCCTGAAATAATGTATTTCATATGCCTGAGATGATAAATTCTTAAAATATAAGGCTGTCATTTCTTTTTTGTGTAGTAGGTAATATATAAAATACTAACCAACTTTAAAATTAAATCTCTTAATACTAATACCTCTATAGTAGTTTCTTTTATTTTTAAAAATCTTTATACCATCTTTTGTTCTCATTTTAAACCTTTCCAGATATTATTCAAAAAAGTACTGAAAGGGGAAGTAACCCCCGATCATCTCATAAGAATGAGTCCAGAAGAACTAGCTTCTAAAGAGCTAGCTGCTTGGAGACGAAGAGAAAACAGACATGTAAGATTATTTATGCTTAATGTGTTTGACTATATCCAAAACTTACAGTTTTTAGTCATAGTGTAAAATTTATATGGAGTTAATTCAACACTGTACAGTGACTCATACTTTCTGTTCTGTACTACTTCTGATTACTTATCCTTCATTTCTCTAGTTCTTAAATTCTGCCTTTAATATTTCCATATTGGCACAACCTTTCTCTTTATTTCCCCTCATTATCAGAATTTCATTGTGTTTTGCTGAACTGGGGGATGAGGAGAAATAATACATCTTTTTTATCTTAGTCACACTTATTTTCTTCAGAAGCAAATTTGGAAGGTATTACAAATATTGGTAATTTGTAGAGTTACAGAATGATTATTTATACAGTCCCTTACCCACAACTTTGACTGTCATGCTCTGAAAAATAAGGTTTGTTTGGGTTTTTAAAAATCATTTACATTGATAAAATCTGGCTTGTCTGAAGTATGTAAATTTTCAACTTAAAGAAACTGCGTGACTATAAAACTGTGAGTGCTTCTCCAGGCTTCTCTAAAGTTTTATTTAAGTGATACATGGTGTGTGTATCATTATATTTTAACAAAACAAAAATTCTGGAAGTCTTTGGTGCCAAAAGTTTTCATTTGAAGATTGTGAACTTGAAGTACTTTTAAAGATTATGGGATTTTTAGTTACTGTGATAGTGAGATAGTCATATTATTTGATAATATGACTGTAATTTTATATATGATTTTATTCCAGTTACCTTAGAACATTAGCCCTTTATTCTAGAAAATTTTGGTGACTGAACCTTAATGTTCGACTTCCTATATATGTGATTCTTTTACCTGATTATCTTGCTCATAATTCTTACTTGCTTTGTAAGCATTAATCTCCCTTTATATGCTGTCCTAAATCCAGTTTTCAGCACAGTATTCACAATATTCTTCCCCTTCATCCTTTATAATTTCTCATTTTTTTCTATTTTTAAGATAGTATCACTTTTTCTTTCCTTTCATTCCCTAAATGTGCATAGTTCTAACTTCTGCTTTGCCACGGTGACTACAAGTCATTGACATTGAAGATTAACTTCAACTTGTTTAGGCCGTGGAATTAATTTCTTTCCTAAAGATTGAGTGTCACAACAAAGAAGACAAATTAGACCTGTTTTTACTCTCCTTGAAAAGAAGTCCTGGTAGCACAGTGGATTAAATATTGAGCCATTAACCATTCAAATCTCCCAGTGCCTCCTTACAGGAGGAAGATAAAGCAGATCTGATTCAGTGTTACAGCCAAGGAAATCGGGAGGAGCAGTTTTACTCTATCCTATAGTCTCTAAGAGAATGTCAGTGAGAATTTTATCATTTGGATGTTTTTAATGTTTTACTTACTGTAGTGCATCCTACTTTTTTACTGCTTCTACAGGTATCTTTTACTGTTTTCTTAATTTGCTTAATTTTCTTTATTTGTTTAATTTTTTATTTTCTTGCTCAGCTTATTTACCTATGATTTATCAGTAAGTTAAATGACTTAAACATGACTCTGAATGATTTTTAAAGTTTGACTGTCTCAAATTGTATTAGATTAGGAACCTAAAAACAACATGGATCTTGTTTCTTTGTGCAGCTTCAAAATTACTAAATCAAAAAGCAGATTTTAAATTTAAATAATCATGTTTCATCTCTTTGAAAATTACATTATACTTTTAATTGCCTCCTGAAAAGGTATGTGTGAACTTCTTGAAGGCTGAGGTATAAGACTGCATTCTTACAACCTCACCATTTAAAACAGTGTCAGTCAGACATAAGCATTTAGTTGATATATGTTGTATAAGAAACTACTTATAAAAAATCATCTGTGATAATTACTTTTTTTGTTAGCTCTAAATATTACATGAAGTTGTACATTTGGAAGTAATATACTTACATTGTAAAATATCCTTATAATATTTCCTGTTAGACTATAGAGATGATTGAGAAAGAACAGAGAGAAGTTGAAAGACGACCAATCACAAAAATAACTCATAAAGGTGAAATAGAAATTGAGAGTGATGCCCCAATGAAAGAGCAGGAAGCTGCTATGGAAATTCAGGTAAAGATAAAAACATCATGTTTTATAATACTCTTAAAGATTCAGACAAAATTTACTTGTTTAATGTTTGCCAAAAATACATAAATATTGAAGTTGCCTGTTGTATTGGTTTAATTGTTTTTGAGTTTAGAGTTTTATTTCTGTGTACCTAGAGTCTACACAGATAGTATGCAAATTGTGTCATAGCCATCTGCTAAACACTTGTAAATGTAGATTTCTCATTGACTTCATGAATTTTTTAGTAAGCTTAAAAATCTGTAGGTAGTTTTTAGGGAGATTGCTATATGACAGTAAGTTACATTTTTTATTTTTCAGTTATCAGAGAGAAAACAGTTTCAACTCTAATGTGGAGCCTTAAAGAATGAGGACTATTTTTTTTTTTGCTCCTTTTAAGTAATAATTAGTATTTCTCATTGTATGTTTAAGATACAGTAAACACAACCTCTGCATAAAATAGGGGAAAATACTATGTGTGAAGTACAGTATGATCTTCTAACTTGAGCCCAAATTTCTGCTGCTAAGATGAATTTTTATTCTCCTTTCTCTTAGGATTCGACAGCCAATAAGTCATTGGAGAAGTTAGAAGAAACTGAAAAGCAAAAAGAGGAGATTGACTCCATGTCCAAAGATACCACTAGCCAACACAGACAGCATCTTTTTGATCTTAACTGTAAAATTTGCATAGGTAATTGAAAATTTTTCTTCCAGAAGTGTTGCTTTCATTTTGAAAGAGGGGAATAGTTGTATTGTATACTAGTATTTATAATTTTTGAGAGCTTGGGTGGCCTAGCATTAAAAGCTATGCTGTAATCCTAAAGGCACATGATTTGAGGCTACCAGCTGCCCCATGGGAGAAGGATGGGCAGTCTTCTCCCTTATGCCTTATTGCCTTTGAAAACACACATTTATAATTTAAATAGATTTTTCTTTTCCTCGTTTTAGTTTGGTGGTCACTACTTATGAATGAATTGCATTGTGAATTTGGAAACAGTGGCTATACTGTTGTTGTTGTTGTTATGTGCTGTCGAGCCGCTTGCGACTCATAGCGACCCTATGTACAACAGCCCTAAACTTTGCTCTGTCCTGTGCCAATCACACGGTCTCTGACACTCCCATCCCAATTATCCCAGTCACTGAATCAATCCACCTCATAAAGGGCCTTCCCCTCCTCCCTCCACCCTCCCAAGTATGATGTCCTTCTCCAAGGACCGGTCTCTTCTCACAACATGTCCAAAGTATGTTAGACGGAGCCTCAGAAA